TCTGAGTTGAATTGTTTAAAGGGAGTTAGAAATGAGTATTCTATATTATATTATACATATCAGTTCTAGTGAAAAATTGCTTGGTGCTTACTTTGTGATATTGCAAATTTATTTAGTTCTTTTTAACCATTTGGTTTGTTTTCTGTGACATTCACAGGTTGAATCAATGAATAACGGCTACATATTAGAAGACAAATCTCCCGATATGTACACATTATTCTACCATAGATCCGTCAAATAACTGTAGCATACCGGTAGATATTGGTAGCATATAGGTTAGATATCAGGAGGTAGATCGATAATAGTAACATAACAGTAACATGCTGGCATGTTACTGTTATATTACTATTATCGATCTACCTCCCAATATCTAACCAATATGCCACCGGTATGCTACAGTTATTTAGCAGATCTGTAGTAGAATAATGGGTACATATCAGGAGATTTGTCTCCCGATATATAGCCGTTATTCATTGATTCAATCTGTGGTTCTTAGATAATTTATATACTCTTTTTGCAATTGATCATTCTTTATGCCTTTTATTTCAAATTGATCGATATTTTCCTTCTGAATATTCATTGACTGTATGAAATTTGGCGAAATAGATAAAACGCTAACTTGTCTATCAATAGAGATTCTGATTTTAATATCCTTTTTGAATGGCAAGAAGTTGGCTGTTATTGTTAATGTTACTAATGATAAGTGAAAACTTTTTAATAGATATAATATGCTTATTGGATCTTCTTTGCTACATAGGTATTAAATAAATTCTGAATTGGTATCAATTAAAATTTAAAATACCAACCTAATTTTAATATCACTTTAGACGATCGAACATTGCTTATTTTCACATTTGGCTATTCTAGCTTCAACTTGTGACTCATAAGTGACGAAAGTTTTTGCCGAAGTGACATAGGTAGATATATTCTATTTCACAATACTACGTGTCTATATTTTATTTGAAAGTTATAGGATTTAGGCCCGAAAAGGGTTTTTACTAAATTAAAAGTCCGATTTGAACAGAAAAGCGTTCTAAAGTAAGAGTATTTAATTAACTTTACCCGGGTACATCGGGTAGGGTTTTATATCCGGATATATCCGTAGATCACCCGAGTAACCCGCGGGTTTACTCGTCGGATAACCGGGTAGTATTTTTTTGATCGGGTACCATCACTAAATTAGAAATTCCCATCGCTACGGTTAGACAGGTTTAGAATAAGTACGTAGAAGTTTTATATAAAGATTTAAATTTCAGTATAAGGTTTTTGAATTCTAAACAGTTTTTGAGAGATATACATATATAGCATCCCGGTATTGAACACCCCTGTGGTACTGTATACATATTTATCTCTGTTAAGTGGCGTATTTAAATGACTTAATCAATATCGGAACTTCAGGTACAACGTACGTACGTATAAATGACATGCCATTAATAACTCGTGATTTGACTTTTACTAAGGTGATTTCACCACGCCAAAGAAAAATGAAGATGAGATGCTGTTGGAAATAGTTAAAAGTGGTAATGACTAAAGCTCTTGGCAAGTAGTTTGTCCGGTAATAGGATTATAAGGGGAGGTACATTATTATTTAGTGAATTTAAGTTGTACTCTCAAAAATAATTTTGATCAAAAATTTGTTTACAAATGCTTTTAAAGAAATAAAATTAGCAAAAGAAAAAAAAATTTTAGATAATTGCATCTACAGTATATGCAGTAGTATAATATGATAAAATTATTAATATTGATTTTTTAACGTTTTCAAATTACTTTAAAAAGTTGCCCAGGTAATTGATCAATCATATAAATATCTTCCTATGAGCTGACTACACAGGACTCCGAATAATTCTAAAAAAGGTTACATATAATCGGATTATTATTAATAATATACAAATTCAATTACGTACGCAAAAAAAATAGATTGTAGATCATAATATTTGTTGAAAGTTCTACAATTGTGGAAACAATGAAATTATGAAAACCTGTAATTGATCATTTTCATTTAAATAGGCATTTTAGTGATTTAAATCCGTTTACCAATTACTTGATAAACATTTTTAACATGGCTACAGACGAAGAATTTAGAAAAAATCTTCATGACATTATAATCAAACAAATATCTCGAAATAATGAGCCTGAAGAGGCATATAAATGTGTTAATACTTTAAATAAAGTCATAGGAAATATCATTGAATCGCCATACGATGAAACAAAACGTCAACTTAAAGAAAGTAATAAGATAGTGAAATCCACCATACGTGAGGTTGATGGTGGTGTTAAATTTCTCATGAAAATCGGTTTCAAAACAAAAGTTGTCAATTTTCAAAAATCTTTTATCCTTGAAATGCCACACAATGAGTCCTCACAAATGATGAAACAATTGGAAAAATTGGAAATTGCTCGTGAATTATTAGAAGAATTTTTGAGAAAAATCAAAGAACGTAGTGAATTAAAAGAACGTGCAAGAGTGAAGGAAAAAATAGCAGAGGAATCTCGAAAGGAAATCGTTTTGAAACAAATTGAAGAAGATAGAGAAAGACGTACAGAGGAACAAGAAAGACACAAGTTAAACATGAAACTCCAAAAAGAGCGAGGATTGAAAGAAGAACAGCAGCAAGAGGAAACCGAACAACAGCAACTATCAGGAGTGAGGCAACCTTCCCAAGATTCACCTTATTATCACCCATATCGTTCATCAGATTTTCGACAAAGATTTAAAAATCAAGACAATCAGAATGATGATTGATATATTCATGAGACTATTATTTATTCAGTACCATAGCATATATCAAAAAAAAAAAAAAATCAAAAAAAAACAATGTATATTTATATAAAGTCGATTTTATATTTGAATATATAGCAATGTTATATATCTGGTGTATACCCTAAAATATATAAACAATGCGTTATTTACATATCATTTTCTTTCATCAATGACATTATAATTATACAATTATTTCACATACTTTTTCCTTGCAAACCGTAAATACTTTTAATTTCGCGTTGCTAAATACTTTAATTGCTACCTTGCGTTCTACATCTGTTTACATAAACAAGTGATCCTCAACTAATCAATATAACCCGACCGAATTGGTGCGTAAATAAACATACTACGCAAAAATTGCAAATTTACACATACATAATTCCTCAAGTGTATTAAGTCAAGAATCATCTGTCATAATTCTTATAAATTCTTCCTCATTTACTATAAAACACACGATAATAATATAATAAAACCAATTAAGGGTAATATCTGGGCGTAAGTTGTGAAAAGTTCAAACAAGAAGGTTTAAAGAAATTTATAGAGCCTAAAGCATGAATTGTAAAAAGTTCAGGCAAAAGGTTCAATATATAAAATTATCGATTAGAAGGATACTCTCTCCATCTTCATCTAAATCAAATTCATTTATCATTGCTTGAAGCTCCTCTTCGTCCAAGTTTTCACCTAACTCATTAGCTATTCGTTTTAAATTATTTAACGAAATCTTTCCTGTATTATCATCATCAAAAAGCTGGAATGCCTTACGAATCTCATCTAGGGGTGATCGATTTAATATTTTTTCTGACACTATATAGATTCAGAATTAAAATTTGGAAATGATCTTAGTCACAAAAAATAAAATAAAAATAAAATAAAATAAATATATATAATTTATAATCCTTATCGTCGTTATACTCACTGACTTTATTAAAATCCTCAAATGAAATAACTCCCTCATTATTTTTATCGTATTTATGTATAATTTCGAGAGCTTCGGCCTTTTTTTCATTAAATCCTAAAGCACGCATGGCTATCTAATTTATATTATTTGTTTTAGTTTTAAATTTATTTACATTTTTCCTATTGTTTACCTACTTTTAATTCATGTGGGTCTAAAGCACCATCTTTATCTATATCAAATAAATCAAAAGCTTCTTTTATTTCCACCCTCTGTTCGTCAGATATTTGGAATTGTGGTGGCGTTATTGCCAATGGGGGCGCTGCCGGTGTTGGATTGATATTGTCTATGGAACTAACTGCGAGTCTATTGTTATTGTTTTTTTTCTTTTGTAGAGTAGAACTTGTGGATATGCCATTTGAAGAACTAAATTTTTGAAAGGATTTAAAGTAAATCAATAAAAATACATTAATTATAGAAACAAGTAATTTTAAGTATTACCTTCCGTTCAGCTTGTTCATGTTTAATATCAAAATCTTAGAACCAGTTAGGTCTTTATATATCTCGTGGCTTAGCAATTTAAATTTTTTTTTTTTTTTTTTTTTTTTTTTTTTATCTCGATTGGCAAATAACTGAATAATATATCTGTGTCAGAATTAGGGTAAGGATCACCCGAGTAACTCATAAATGCATCCATTAACCGGGTCATGGACGTCCTGAGAGAAACTGCTGACAGATTTTCGTTAATATACAGTCGTCCTCCCATATAATCACCCTATTTGGCTACCACTTTTTAGTGATTATATAAAGGGGTGATTAAGTA